AAAAGTGATGCATTTTTTGTTAAATTATATTATATTTATCAAGATACTAGTGATATAGCTAAGAATTTTGGTATTATTATTTTAAAACAATAAACGAAAAAGATCTATTTTTATAAGTTTATGTTCTCATATAGATTTTGTGTAGAGGTCCTAAATATAATTTTATCCTCATCGAGAAACTTGTATTACCAAGACAGAATAGGGATCTCCTTTTTTTATTATATCAAAGGTTCAATATTTTATGATAAATAGTAAAAAAGAGTTTTTTTAAATTATATTATATTTATCAAGATACTAGTGATATAACGCCAAGAATTTTTGGCATTATTATTTTAAACCAATAAACAAAAAAGATTAGTTTATGTGCTCACATTGAATTTGGTTAGAGGTCTTCTCCAATTAGAAAATCTTTTTATAAATCTTGCTATATGTTGCTCGATCACGTGTTGCACATGTAATAACGATTGAATTCATTCTACTTTTAGAAAATCTGTGTATCACGTTATAAATTTCATTAAAATCATAACAGTCTTGGAATGAACACTTAATAATTTTGCAAAAAATACTCTTGTACCTCCGACAATATATGAACAAATTAAATCTACATTTAACATTCAATATTATCTCTACAATTGATATCTGCAATCGATTTTATATAAATAATCATTATAGTTTTTGCTAGAAATGATATATAATATATTTTATCTTTTTAAATCTGCTGGTCTTTTTATGAAGATTTAATAGTGATTTCTAACAAAAATTAATTTTAAATTTTTTTTTATACAAAAATGTATAAAATTCGACTTTTTTTCAAAATAAGAAGTGATACTTCTTAATCCACGTGAGGTACATAGTCTGATGCCGGTTATTCGCCCAATCGGCAGTTTTAAAACCATGGCCAGGCTCAACACAAAACTGAATCTTGTGTATTTGTGTATGTATGCGCACGCAGCACGCATCTTTTCCTTTTCATGTGCAACTAACTTGGATCTCATCCACAAGAGGCGAGATGCAGCACCCGAAGCACAAGGTTAAGGACATTGATCTTGTATAGCTTCGACTATACTTTACCTGTTTTCCTAAAATATTCTCAAAAAAATATTATTCATATTTAAAAATCTTTAAAGTTTTGTTTGACAAAAAAAAACAAAAGAAAAGAAAGTTTAAAAATTATAGTTGCGCAGAATTGATGGTTATTAGGATTTTTTCTCAATTTTTATATTATTTATTTATTGCAATTTTAAAATCACTTTATTTTATTAATAAATTTAATAGCAATCAGAATCTTATTATTCTATAAGCTATTGAGATGTATTTGAATTCAAAAACTGAGTTCGCAAATGTGGCTTGTTTAGGAAACTCTTCAATGAGAGCCTTTAGAAGTCACATATTTGCTGCATCAAAAATAAATCACATGTTTTTACTATTAGAAATATTTTATAATAAATTATAACAGACAAAGTTAAGGCCAACCGTTGGGTTGCCTTCTAAAAATAAATGCCAATTTATTAGAAAATCATCATAACAATCTTAGAAAACTGTTCCACTTTTTGATTGTTGGGTAAAAAACGGAAAAATTATGTATTAGAATTCTATACTCAATATTTCTTACAACTTAATCAATTGATACCGAAAGTAAAAGGATATGATATAAATATAATTTACAGTGAGACCAAAATCAAAAAAAAAAGTTTCAGAGTTACTTTACAACATTATAAATAAATAATATTAAGAATTTTAGTTTTTAATTTCTTGCTATATGTTGCTCGATCATGTGTTTCACATGTAATAACTATTGAATTCATTTTACTTTCAGAAAATCTTTATATTACATTCTAAATTTTATTAAAATCTAACAGTCTTGCAATAAACACTGAATAGTTTTGCAAAAATGCTCTTATACTTGCCATTATATATGGGCAAAATAAATCTACTTTTTACATTCAATATTATCTCTACAATTGATTTTATTTAATTAATTAATAATTGATTTATACAATTTGAAAGTATGTTCTATCTCAAAAGTTGTATTAAAAATTATTATTAAACGCAATGAAAAGTTATGTTAATTATCAACATTAACAAGATAGAAATAAAATCAATTTTCTTATTAAGAATTTAGTTTATTTTTCGATTATAATTTTTTACTATAGTAAAATCACATTAGAAAGTATTGTTATTTGTACAGTTATTAAGTTTTTAATAACTAATTATATAATTTATTTAAAATTTATTTTAATATTGATATAAAATAATAATCATAATAATTAGATTTTTGTCAAATAGTTTTTAAGTGTAGTATTTTACAGCTATCCTGAATCATATTGGAAAATGTCATCAAAAAATATTGTTATTTGTTCAGCAATTAAGTTTTTAATAACTAATAATAAAATTTATTTAAAAATGTATTAAAATATTAATATAAAATAAATAATAATAATAATTAGATTTTAGAAAATAGATTTTAAGTGCAGTATTTTACAGCTGTCCTAAATCTAGTCCCTCAAGTAAGGACATAAGAAAACATGAGCACATGCGTCTCTTTTGAAAAGGATGAAAAAAATCCGTACAATAAAGTAATACGGATTTTGGAGTGCGTTTGAGGTAGGTAGTAGAATTTTAACATCCAATACCAAGGACCAAGGACTGCACGTCCGATTGCTTGCAAACACACAAATATCCAAATAAAAGGAGAGCTTCGAGGATAAATATTCGCAAAATATCGACAACACAAGTTGATTGATAGAACTTTTAAATCTAGACTCAAATCTAAAGATAAAAGATAAAAATCTTTCATGTAGCAGTATTAATTGCAATAAAAATTTAACTGTTTCAAAATGTGCAATAATTTACTACCCTTAACCCTTAAGTGTTCAGAATTCATTCATATTTTGACAATTTACAATAAGTGGAATTTTGTCTGACAATTTACAATAAGTAAAATTACTGCAAAAACAAGAATAACAATTTTTCAAAATAATTAGCGAGAAAAGGATTTTTTGCCTGGAAGATTATGTTTCAAGGAACGAAAATCTGCATAAACCTATACATCCAACCCTATAATAAATTTTTATAATAATTTTCTCCTGTACATGATTTTAAAAAGCAAGCAATTTAGACTTATCTCAGCAAAAAATTATATAAAATTTGAGTTCTATTATAAAATATTAATTCCATTGTATAATTTAAATGGGTCTTAAATAAATAAATAATAATAATAAAAAGTATAAAAAAATTAAAAATAAATTAAATGATGTCTGGCCGCTTTTTGGATTTCATATGGATAACATCGTCAATTTTTCTACTTTCTTTTTCAAATTATATAGTAATTATAATTTATAAGTATATTTAATACAAAAATTTGCGATGCGGAACAGAAAAGGTGAATTTGTCTTGATAGGAAAAATAATATTTTTAAATTATACATCTAAAAAAATTGACAATGGCCAGTAATCCCTCACCTGCCAATACATTTTTTTTAAATCTGTGTATAAATATTATTATTCCCAAAGCGCCCGTCCTAAATTCTAGATTTCCAGGATACTAAAGTGGGAGTATGAAATAAGTAGTCTTTTCTCTCAAATTCCAACATGTGTGCAAAGAATGTTATTGATTGACGGAAACCGATGCTGAACATAAAACTTTTGGGATTTGGGAATTGAGAATAGATGGAAACGTTTCAGAAATCGATATTTTATGAAACAATGTTTAATATATAATTAAACTTATTACTAAAAATTTAAATCAAATTGTATTATTTATATAATTTTATATGATAAAATAGCACTAATTTAAATATTGAACCATAAATACAATGATAATCTTGAATTATTTTCTTCATTCCCAATATAAGTTTAAACTATATAGTATACACTATGAATAAAATCAAGTTTTGCAAAAAAAAAAAAAATTGAATTCACATATAAAAATATGTATTTTATATAGATTAAACTAAAGAAATATATGACATAAAAATTTGGAGAATTTTTCTTGATAAATGATAGTCAATTAGTACTATAGAATATTATATATTATATATACATATATAAATTATTGCAATTGTTTTTTTAAAAAAATTAGTAATAAAAAATAAATTAGTTAATATAATTTAATTTCTCAATTAAAATTATAATTATAAAGATTATAATTTGCACATGATTACTTCCAGAACTTATACAAAATAAGAAAAGTAACTTGATCAAACTTAATAAAACAATCAAAATTTTCATCAAGAATTATATTTCATAAATAAAATATTCTTAACACTAAATTCATTAGCTTAAATATTATAACTAATTACCATTATTTCAACAATTTCAGCTGCTGAATGAAACCAGGATTTGGTTGACTACAAGGCCTAACAGCCTTAATTAATTTATAAGCATCCTCAAAACTATAATTTAATTCCAGCATAATATATCCAATAATTACAGAAACAGATCTTGATACGCCAGCATTGCAATGAACTAAAATTCCACCATCATTATTCTTCAGGCAAGTTTTTAAAAATAAATTTGATTCTTCACAAACGTCTAATAATCTTGTTTCCGGCAAATCTAAGCATGGTACAAACTTTGAAGATATTTTGTACGACAGATCATTCCAATTTATATTCGGTAACGGAATTCCAACACTCAGAATATATTTTATATTATAATTTTGTAATACTTTTACATCCACACAATCTTGCGATCCCACGTACAAATTGTTCATCACTTCTGCCGGAGTTGTGTCGGGTTTTGTATCGACCACGAAACCATATTCGGATTTGAGAAATGTTTTATTTCCTTCAGAATTTTCTATGTAACTTGTACCATCAGCTTGTGTAACTTTTGTTTGAGAATGTTTTAAATTTTGTTTGGATTTTTTTAAACCGTCTAATAAACTCATTTTAAATAAAATAAAGTATAGTATTTAAGATTGAAATACATATGTATCGCAAGCCCAATAGTAGTATTATGGCGCAATGCAGGGATGAGCAACGTGTCTCCTTCGCATTATTATTGTTTTTTATGTTGTCTATCAAAATGTTCTTTCAAGCCATCAGCTCGTTTAAATGTAGCAGGGCATTTGGGACATTTGTGTTTTCTTTCATCAGAATGAACTAAAAGATGTTTCCGCAATGTACTTTGAGAAATATAATTTTTTTCGCAGATTTGGCATTTAAAAGGGCGTTCGCCGGTATGAGATCGTACATGAAGATCAAGATCATATTGTACATAAAATCTTCTATCACAAATTTTACATTCATACAAACCTTCACCAGTATGACGACTTAAATGTACTTTAAGAGCATACGGAGTTTTAAATTTTTTGTGACAGATATTACACTCAAATGAATACGAATAGCCTGTGTGAATTTTCTTATGTCTATTGAAATTGCTAGGATCATTAAATACTTTATTGCAGAAAGGACATTTGTATTCTTTCTTATCCTTTTTTTTATTTTTCTTAATTTTTTTAGAAGGTTCTGAATTAAGACACACATTCTCGTCACACATATCACAGTTACTTATTTCTGGTTCCTCAATCTTTATCTCGTCTTTTATGAAGACTAAATTGTCTTCATCTTCTGGATCTTGTTTGATAACAGGATCTTCAAAAGCCTTTTCAAATTCACCATGCAAAAAATCTTTACTTCTGGTTTCTGAATTAAGGCACACATTTTCGTCACATATATCGCAGTTACTTATTTCTGGTTCTTCAATCTTTATCTCGTCTTTGATAAAGATTAAATTGTCTTCTTCTTCTGGATCTTCAAAAGCTTCTTCAAATTCATCATGCAGAAAATATTTACTTCTGGTTTCTGAATTAAGGCACAAATTTTCGTCACACATACCGCAGTTATTTATTCCTGGTTCTTCAATCTTTATTTCATTTTTTATAAAGATGAAATTGTCATCCTCTTCTGGATCTTTTTGGATAACAGGATCTTCAAAAGCCTCCTCAAAGTCACCTTGCAGATAATCTTTACTTTTTTCTTGTCTTTGGGTTATTATATTACTCATATTTAAATAAGTTGTAGTAATTATCATTCAATAAAAGAAATTTATTCTCAAATCACCAATAACAAATATTTCAAAACAAAATTGAAATGTCAAATAATTAGCAAAGATGATGTGTACACTACTAACAAAGATGATTGACTACTAACAATTTTGTTACAAAACTATTATATAATTTTATAAAATATTCCTTTGTAATGTTCTTGAATAAATTTATAATGATAATGATTGGGTGCAATGCTATCTGTCGAATTATATTCTACCTAAGTTAGTCTAGTCAATAACAAAACTACCTGAACGTTTTTTTGTCAGTATGGGACAGGCTGCCAGGTACTGAATTGGTATTGTTAGATCAAATTCTATTTTATGAACAAATAATTTATTTGGTTTATAAAATATTATCAAACGACTATCTATAATTTAATCATCAGGAAGTGAAAACCAACCTCTGTGAATCGTCTTCTAAAACATTCATACAACACACACTAGTTGTAACCCTTTCGACTCGGATGCCGGCAAAATTCATATACATCTCGGAATTCGCGGGTGGAAAGTATTGCTGTTCAAATATATTTAAAAAATATTACCGAGTACTAATATTTAACTTAAATTCTATTATTTCATTATATTTTATTTATCAGCACTCAACACTTTCTTCACTAAAATATTTCATGCGGCACGACCAAAACACGCATTAAAAATGAAATGTTTTAAACATATTTGTTTATACAATAAATATTTTAACACAAACCAGTCAAAATAATTTTATCAATCCGCATAAGATAAGAATTTCCTATAAATGATAACAAACTCCAATACCGCTAATATATTTCTAGCTGCAACGCGTCACAGACAAAATATATTATTATTTTTTTATATGAAACATATTTTTTTATTAATTGTTTATTTTTTTGATTATATACAAGAGGTCTATTTATTGCACTTACAATCAATCAATGCTCTTAAATAGAATGCATAATAAAAAAATCTGTGATGTGTTCCTTTGATAACCATAAGTACATATTTACAAGTTTTGAAAAAAAATAGTAATCTTTAAAAGATAAAAATACTTAAAGTATAATATTTATTTGGTAATTTTTGACCAAAACTGGTTTAAATTATCTTTTAAAATAAAATTTTAATTTTTTTTTTAATATCCTTAAATCAAAATTTGTTTATAATCATGATATGTAAGATCATAAATGCTGATGACAACAATATGTTAAAATGTTATTGAAATTTATTTTTTATTATTCAGTAAAATATATATTGCCACTTTGCATAAAAAGTATAAATATTATTATTTAATTTATGTTCAGCTATAATTTAAGATAAAAAATTCTTGTAATTTAAATAAAGTTAAAAAATGTTCTTTTAAAGAATAAATAATTAAAAATGTTGTATTATGTTTTTCCTTTAAATTTAAAACTGAAAGGTTTGTTTATATAAATCTATCATTAGTATAAAAATTATTAATATCTTTTTATAATTAATTTATATATATGTATATCTAGATTCATAATCATGTATATTATATTAACTATTTCTTCAAATATAAATACTACAATCAAAATTATTCTATAATTATTTTTTTTACTTTACTTTCATTCGTAAAATTAATTTATTTATTATTTACAATTAAGTTATATGTATGTTGAATAATTTTTTTAAGTATTAATCGAATGGGCTATTCCAGCCACAATGAATTAATAAAATTATTTAAAAAATATTCGATAGGTCAATTATCAATTTGTTCAATATAAAAAGAATAATTAAAAGTGTAGTTTACAGAAAAATCACAATCAGCTTCATCATAAACGTGAGGTTACAATTACAAAATTATGCAAATTATTAGAACAATACAGGAATGTGCAATATTTATAAAAAAAATGCAAACTTTATGGTTTTCTTTGCGGGAAACAATATTAATTATTGCCTATAATTTTAAGTGGTCATGATATATATTTATTTAAACGTGATTTATAATAAACATTATTATTTTAAATGCAATTGAAAAAAATTAAAATAGCCTTTTATTAATTCTATTAAATTTTACTTATTTCTTTTTATGTGAAATACAATGTATTTCAAGTGGTCAAAATATAAATATCTAGAATTTGTTTTAGTCAATTAAAATATATATTATTTTATTAAAGAGAATAGTACGAATTGCTCAAAGCAATTGTTTAAAGCATATATAATAAGAGAAAGAAGATATAAAAAAAAACAACAAACAAACCTTTTTCTCCCTGTCCAGTGCATATATTACAACTATTAACCTATTTCTCACCTGTCTCAAATAATATATTATTCTATTACGTAAGAAAACTCTTACTGTTGTTGTTGCCATAAAATAGGTTGTCCATTTGATTGCAGTATTATTCGATGTGTTAATTGTCCGAGTTGATCTGGTTGTATTTGTAGTAATTGTCCGCCAGCTGTTGATAAGTGAACTAAAGGCGGTGGACTTGAAAGGGAAGGTAAACTCGACAACTGCTGAATTGTTTGCATATGAAGGGGATGTTGTAGTGAAACCTAAAACATAAAAATTAACAACGAAATTATTATATATCAAACAGAAACTAAGCATGGAAATAAACTGTATTTATTAGTTATTTAGATCTGACCTGGCCAAGTACGGTATCAGGAGATGCTTGTCTAATTTGATGCATTGTTACAGTTTGTGGCTGGGCTTGAATTATCGTTTGTTGTTGGGTTTGTGGTTGTTGCTGTTGTTGTTGTTGTTGCTGAACTTGCTGATTTTGTTGATCTTGTTGATGAGTCATCATATGTTTTTTAAGGTTTTGAGACTAAAAACATAAAATAATTACTTTTTTAAAATTATTAGCTTAATATTGCTAAATACTTTAAATATAATTAAACAAAAATACATGTTATTGTAGGAACAACACATAGGTTCTCATAATTACCTGTGTATAAGATTTGTTACACAAAGTGCAGGAAAATGTCTTAGCATTATTAGCCGTTTCATGTGTCTTTATATGTTTTTTATAGGAGCCAGACTCCACATAGCCCTTCCCACACGTTTCACAAACATATTTTTTCTCTCCTGTATGGTGACGCCTAAATAGAAAATATTACATCATTACTCAAATGTTTCTAATAAAACTTTTGAGTGAATGTTAAAAATAATCATGTATATTAATATACCTATGAACAGCAAGATAACTAGCAGTAGAAAATTTCTGATCACAAAATTCACAAGGAAACAATTTTTCTCCTGTATGTTTTGTCATATGAATTTTAAGTTCAGTCCTATTCGTGCATCCTTTTCCACAATCAGAACAAGCAAACCTAAATGAATAAAAAAAAAGAATATGTAATTATTATTTTTTATCAAAAAAATACATACACATTTGACTGAATTTAGAGAAATTAGACTTTATTTTTAATAAAATGTTAAAATCATTAGTTTTAAAAGAATAACATTTTATTAAATATTGAAATTTTAATTTTTATTAAATGTTATTTTAAAATAAAATTCTCAGTTTGATAATCTTTATTTTATATATGTGAGTATGAGAAAATCTTTCATTTAACTTTATGGTTTTTACTTTAATATTTACTTTTTAAATCCCGTGTGTGTAGCCATATGATTATTTCGAGCTGAGCTGGTTGCAAATTTCATATCACATCCTGGCGATTCACAAGCATACGGTCTTTCTCCCGTATGCGTTCTTCGATGATAAATCAAAGCTGATTGTTGAGTAAATCTACGAGAACAGTACTGGCATTCAAACGGTTTTTCACCTAGAAATAGATTATAAGCCATATAGTATAGTTGTGAAAGGTTTCAACAAGAAGTTTGCAATACTGGAATAAAATATATTAGCACTGGTAATATTTTATGTTAGATCACAAAAAATAGTATTAAACTTGCAAGTAGTATACCTGTATGAACACGCATATGGGCATTAAGTTTAGAAATCTCAAAGAAGGCTTTTCCACAAGTCGCACAAACATGATCCCTTACACCTCGATGTTTCTTAGCATGCTGGCATAAGGTACTATGACGTCGAAAAGCTTTTCCACAGTCCGGACAATTTAAAGGCTTTTCCCCAGTATGAAGCCTCATGTGCACCTAAAAAATTAAATTGTAAATGCCTATGTTAATTTCTGTATAGTAAATAATAAATTCTGTATATTTCGGTAGATAATAAATAATTTATGTATTATTTACATATAAATATATAAGATTTATGATATATTTACCTTTAAATCTGTAGGATTATAAAAACTTTTCTCGCAATTGTAGCATTTATATGGTTTTTCTCCACGGTGTCGGGCAAGATGGGCTTGCAGAGCATAGTTGGAAATAAAACTTTTTTCACAAACAGTACAAGGATACAACTTTTTCTGTAATAATAATAGAAATATAAGAAAACAGGTTCAAACATTTCCAAATTTAAAATATATTATCTTAAATATATGCAAATAAAGCATGATAACTTATGAATTAGATATAAAAAATATAACTGAATATGGGTCATCATATATTCACCTCAAAATGTGTTTGTCTATGCCGATATAATATAGTTTTCGATTTAAATTCTTTATGACACACAGTACACGTAGGTGGTTTTTCTGGTTTTGCCTAATAAACATTTGTTGTTAGTACATATTTGATATAATTTATTATTTAATATCTGCATTGAATACCTCATGTGTTTTCATATGCATTTTTAGCATCCCTGGACCTTTAAAACTTCGGTTGCATATTGTACAAATTGGGGGCTTTTTACAATTTGCCTTTAAGTAATTAAGAAAACATTAATGCTTATGCAATACAACAACAGTAGAAAAAAATTGTGAAGTTATATTAACCTTTATCCAATTTGAATGTGATCTCATGTGTGCTTTCAACCACTTCGAGTGTTTGAATTCTTTACAACACAGGTTACATATATGCCTTCCAGGTGTTACTGAAGCAGCTGCTTGAAAAGTGACTAATTCTGAAAAATAAAATAGAAAATATAAATTCTATTAATTCTTGCATAACTTTATCTACCTATCTTACTTCTATTTTATCTAATTTAAGACCAAATCAAAAAAATGTATACTACCTAAATAACTTTTATCTTCTTCAGGATCATCAAAATTAATCTCGTTCTGTTCGGTTGATACATTCTTCTGTGATTCTTCTAATTGTTGAATTTCTTGCTGCAATGTGATTATGTTTTGTTGTTTTATTTCTTCCTGTTGCTGCTGAATACTATAAAAAATGATAAAAAGATTTTGTTTAATAACATATATACATTGAAAGCTTATAGTTTAAATAAAATATAATTTTTTTTTTTTTTTTTGTTACAATTTATTTTTGTTCATCAAGACTTTAATGTCTTATTTACAAAATTGATATGAGCAAAAAAAAATACAAAAAATGCAATACATTGAATATAAAATGAAAAAAGTTAAAATAAAAATTAAATTAAAAATATAATTTAAATTAGAAAATTTCGAACAACCTAACACAAAGCTTGACACCGTACTGAAAAAGTTAACCTGTGTGTAGAATTTTTTAAATAAATACAGGTACAAAATTCCAAAGAATAGATATGATCATAATGTAAAAAATAATATGTAATGTGATGTAAAAAACTGAAGCAAAAGATTTGCACCATAATATCAACTAATGTGAATGAAAATAAAATAATGTAAGAATATATAATGGTCAGAGACTGTTATGAATTGTTAGATTTATATATGGGTCATACAAAATATTTCTTTTCTTAAATTTACAGTTTTGTTAAGCTCTATAATAAAAATATAGATGTGTGTTTATTAATCTAAACCCACAAAATATAAATTTATTTTACCTAGCTATTTGTTGAGTCTGTAATTCACTACTATTAACAATATTCTGAATAATTTCATGTTGCTGAGCATTTTGATCTAAGAGTTGCGAATCAGTCAAAGCATGCTGTTGCAAAACATGTACTTGAATCTGCTGCGAGCATCCACTACTTTCATTTATCTGGTCGTAAAGTTCAATAACTTTAAAGTTTGTACCATCAGTATTCGTAATATGTGTATTTCCGCTTTGATCTAAAACATAAATTATGAGTAAAATATATTTACAACTATTTCTGTATGAATATATTTACTGTTTGTGTAAAAATTATGTCCATTTTGGTCTGATATTAAATCAGGTACCACCATTTCGCAATCTTCTCCTGAAACTGTTAAAAGTACTTGTCTGTTTTGTTGAGTTTGGTTAGCTTGTTGCTAGAAGAAAAAATACAATATAATATATATAAAACTAGAGATGACAAATCGTTGTTATACCATTTGTTGTACGTAATCTCTCAGAGTAACATCTGATCGTTCAACTTGGGATTTAAATGAATGGCATCGACTTATTTGATGCACACATTGCACACAAATCTGTCCAGGCAAGCCATCCGTTTGGGACACCTAGAAGAGAATAGAAATATAAAATATATATTGGTTTGAACTAAATATCAAGATACTATGAATTAACATGCATAGGGTTTCGTTAACATGAGCATGCCTATTATTGAAAAATGGATACTATGGCTACAAATTAGTGGATCTAGACAAATTCTTGATCGATAAAGGTTCACTTGACGTAAGTATTGTTATCTGTATCATTTTTATAAGTAAATAGTGCCTTGAAGGCTTAAATTAATCGTACAAAACAATATTTTGCAGTGTGTGTTTTTAGCAAATGCTGATAATAATGGTTTTTGTCATAATCCAGTTGATGACACTGGTAACTAATATAATAATATTTCTTTAATCTAAATAAGCTTAAAATGAATCTAAATCTTGTTATAGTCATTTACCTTGATATTTGTGCATTCCATAAGTAAAGTAGCAATTAATTCCTCAAATAATGGTCTCATATCTTTTTTAATTGACAAGCACGTTCTGCACACCTTATCGAAATCTATCACCTTTTTATCCATTATTAATTATAAACATTTATTTTGAAGAAGAATAATTTTATTTATATTTACTAGCTGTCATATGTTTCTCATTGGTTATGTTTTGAAAAGTCTTTTGTAATATGATAAATTTAACATTTTTCCATATTATTGACACTCAGAACACTGTTCATGCAATAATAACTATTTAAATCAGCATTGCATATTGAGATCTATTTGAAATGCATTATTTATTAATTATATGTCAACACTTTGAAAGGAACAATGCATAAATGTTAAGTAAGTGCAACATCTTGATTGGTGTTGGTGAAGAAATATGAAACAATCGATTGTACTTTTGTAGTTATTTTATAAAGAAAATGATGACCAAATTAATAACAATATTAAATAGTATAATTAAATTAAAATATATGCATTTATTAATAAATGAAAATACTTAAAAATAATTAAAATAACATTTATATGCTGTATATTAACGCGATATAGTACAATTTTACACAAGCATCGGTGGTTCAGTGGTAGAATGCTCGCCTGCCACGCGGGCGGCCCGGGTTCGATTCCCGGCCGATGCAATTCTTTTTTTTTTAAATATTTTATTTTATTTCTTATATATACATTTTTAAATATAATATTATTACTAATATTTTAATTTTTAAATAATATTAAACTTAAATTTAATTAAATTAAATTATCAACATACCTAGACAATATATAAGAGAATTGAGAATATAATATACTCATACATGTGTGCTTACCTAATCTTTTAATATACTCAAGATGTTTATCGGACATCCAAGAAGAGACTATCCTCCACTAATAAAATCGTCTAAAAAATAATAATTCTGCAGGTAAATATTTCTAATTCTATAAAAAAAATTAGCCCAGGTACATATCATACCAATGATAACACCATACCAAAATATCATGGTAATCTTGACTATTTTTCTTCATCTTTCATCTTTCTTGACTATTTTTCAGGCAGAATACAGAATATTCTTGTATACTATATATATTAAATAAAGGCACATTATGTATAACATTAAAAATTTAACACAATACTATATGGCATTTACTACACTAGTGAAATATTATCTTCCATTAAAAATTGAAGGTTAAAAGCTCTTCGATACAACCAAATTTACTTTAAAAATTGAAGGTTAAAAGCTCTTGAAAAAGCTCTTCGATACAACCAAATTTACTTCATTAGATAAAAAATTGAGAGTTTAGTACCGTCACAGAGCATGGTTACCTTAGAGTAGTGTGGGCAAGGTATATGGTACCACCGTACCAACTACTAATACCGTGGGGAGTACTTGAACATTTCAGCTCAGAATATTCTTGTATACTATATATGTATACTTATTTTTAATATGAGAGTTAGTTACCGGGACAGCGCGTACGCAGTCCGACTACCAAAAATTACGCGCCCGAGTTATCCACATTAGGGACAATCGCAGGGGTCAGCCCAACCGAGGTGCAATGGAAGGGCCTCGCCCTGGGGGAACCGCCTTAGTGATCACGGTAGCCCCCACGCCAGGTAAGTATGCTTCAGCGGAAAAAGCAGTTTGCTAAGCTTGGGACGTTCTATGTTTCGCGGTGTGTGTAAGCTGAGAAATGCGCAGCGGCGTTATCTATGGAGAGTACTTCGAACAAGAACTTTAGAAGAGCAACTAACCCGAAGAAGTATTTATCTTGAATAATAATATATTTGTGATAATTGTAATATTATACAAGTATCGTCAAGTTATATTAGAATATTATTAAAATTATATTGTAATGATGTATTCTATAATTTGAAATTTACCTTAAAACAAATTGCATGAACTTCCCAATATGTATACAGAATCAACTTTATCAATAAGAATTGAACTTGAGCTATTTAGATAAAATCATATACTTTTCATTTATGGATAAAATATTCAACTGTTTTCTTCGAAAATAATATTTTCTTTTTACTGAAAAATAATCAATACGATATCCAAATGATGACTTTCATATATATAATTGAATTTATTGCATACTCGTACATTAAATTAATTTATTTAACACATTTTATTTTCTAAATAAAAAAATACATTTCGTATTCTAAAAGTGTATTTTTTCAAGTGTGGACGTCAACTGTGATCAGTAGCTAGCTACAGCTCATGGCGAAATTCTAAACTTAGATGAATTTTTATAAATCAACCGCTTATCATAGGTCTATAAGAGTGGAACCGGAGTAAATTACTCCAAATTGAGTAAAAGAGGTATTTTTGGGGGTAAAATGTATATATTTGAGAAGCACTGAATCAACTTCAGTAAAACCTACTATCGGAAAGAATTTCTGCATTAGCTGAAAATGTGAAGAAATAAGTAGTTTTCGCACTAAAACAAATTAAATATCTCGCTTGTTTTAAATCAGCTTCAGTGTCACAACTGGGTGCGGAAAGTACCAGCAATTTGCCTTAAGGCATGATGCCATACACCACTAGTTTGTTCATGTATTAGTAGGATTTTCATGAAAAATATATGTATTCATAAAGAATATAATTTTTACTTATTGTTTCCTTCAAACCATTTATTTCAGTCTTTTTCAAGGTTTGGAAGTAACAAACAATGTAGCAATCTGCGGGTTATGGGAGGTTATACAGAAGTATGCAAACAGATTCCAATTATAGACTCTGTGGGGTAATGAGAGGTTGCACAAAAACATTTTGGGATAATGGTTCCAAAAGTTCCCCGACTACTGGTCTATAATATTTTAGTATCTTGTTATAGACTACAAAGATCTCTTAAGATCTCATAAACAACTAATTAATACGATTCTTATCTATTATATTTCGAATAGTTTTTTAATTTTCAAAATCGATTCAAGATCGTGGACTAAAATGTGGACGAAAAATTCTATACTTTTCTGATAATTATGAAGAAACGGTTTAGCCGATCGTCGCACAAAACTGACAAAAGGTAATTTTTATCGAGCTTCACCGAAGGGTCTTTAATTATTTAAAATTGGCCCAACCATTTTTGATACAACATCGATCAAAAATTGGTGTACATCAGCACACACTTTTTCCAAATTTGGTCTCAGTCGATTCAGATTCACTTGAAACCTAAAATTAGCAAATCAAATTTTTTTCGCGAAAACATACGCTTCTCCTTAGTGAAGTTAAATAATAATTTCCCACGTTGTTTTTAATAATTTATTTCATTGTAACTAAAGCCAGCCTAAACGGCAAGTCCATTAATTACATAGGTACATAATCTTTTAATGACTAGATACAAATGTATTCATATTTACAATATATTAAATAATTAATCTCATATACTTACATTAAAATTAATAATATTTTTTCACAGCAATAGTACATTTTTTAATGGTGTGTTGTTACTTCGTACAATTTTTACAGTTTAAAATAATATGTAAATTGTTAAAATGTGGACGAAGAATAAACTTTATTCTATAAATATATAAACAACATATATATTAATATTAACAATAAATATAAATGATTCTAGTAATATCTTTCTTATTACAAATTATGTTGCAGTACACAGTTAACATTTTGGACAATAACTAATAATTAATATCTTTGGATTAATTTTCAATAAATCATGATTTATGTTTTTTCGCATAATATAGAAAAATACCCATAAAATATTTGTGATTTAGTATTTTTGTAATAATTTCTTGATAAATAATGAACACAGAATGACCATCATTAAATTAAAAGTATGAGCCTGTTAACACTTTCAGATAATTCTTTTATATTTTCTATATGTATTATGTTTTCAAAAGCTATATTCAAATGTTATTTTTATTTACAAATATTATACTCGAATATTTATATGTTTATGTACACTTGGATCGAACTAATGATTAATTAAATTAAATTTAGCTTAAATATACTAATTCGGACTCAAATGCTGTGTCTGCAAATTGGACACAGCAATATTATAACTGCCAAAAATTCAGATCAATCAAACAGCAAAGTAAACGATCCAATAGTTGCTGTTTCTTGCATTATTCTTATATTTTTGTTTAGCTAAGCTTCCCATAATCTAAATTTCACCACAACTGCATTTCAATTATATTGATGCTTCCAAACTATTGTTCTCCACTAAAGTATGAATTTTGCATTAGGTACAATTTATCAATAGGATTTACCAGTAAGCCTGTATGTGACATAGATGACGGTTCTTGGTTGCCTGGGCCAACTACATCCTGGTGCAATGATGGTATTCCATCTGATGTTCCATCGTCCAGGGCATCGAATGTACTTCCATCCAAAGATAACTCGGAACTACAGTAACTATCACCAGAATGGGCAGGGTAATCTGGTAATAGACACATCAATTGTAATATTTAAAAATAATGGATAATTTCCAAAAAAAATGGTATGGAAATTTGTGGAAAATATGTGTATTTCACTCAAAATTACTTATCTGATAATACTAATATGCAAGATGTGAGAAATATTATAAAACAATAAATTCAATATTTGTAAAGGTAATTAATTGTGAAAAATGTCTAATACTCGTATAATTTTTTACAATTTAAAACATATATTTCAATAATTATAAATGTATACATAACACTTCCAATTTCGATCGGATTTCTACCCGTAGGTACATCATCCCTCATATCTGTTCTATCAATACCATAATAAGTATTTCAAATATAAAAGGTATGATACAATTGTGTGACAAAAAGGGAGAAAGAAAAATTTTCTATACGTATATCGCGTATTTTTAGTATTCTGCACAAATATACTTCTTGTAAAAATGACTAAAAGGCAATTTACTTAAGCATAAAAGTCAGTTTCATTTTCATATTCGATAGTCCAAATTTGTATATTGATGTGATTTGCATAGTGATGTGCTAATAATGTGGATGAAACTCATACAAATATTACAAATAATTATTACCATCTGGCGAATAAGGCATGTTCGGATTCAAAGGTCTACTTGAGGCTGAAAAAGAGCCATCCATACACAAAGATTCTTGCTTGACTGCAGCTTCTCCATCAGTGCCATCATCTGCATTTCCTGATCCAGAATCTTTCCGCTTGTCGCCTCCTGAACCGCCGTCTTGTTTTGCTTTACGTTGAAGTTTCTTCATTTTTGCGCGTTGATTTTGGAACCACACCTGGAATGAATATAATAGTTATATTAAATAAAGGTACCTTAGGTACATTATGGATAACATTAAAAATTTTACACAATACTATATTAGTATACGTATCATGGCATTTATCACACTAGTGAAATATTATCTTCCATTAAAAATTGAAGGTTAAAAGCTCTTCAATACAACCAAATTTACTTTAAAAATTGAAGGTGAAAAGCTTTTCGATACAACCAAATTTACATGGCATTTACTACACAAGTGAAATATTATCTTCCATTAAAAATTGAAGGTTAAAAGCTCTTCAATACAACCAAATTTACTTTAAAAATTGAAGGTGAAAAGCTCTTCGATACAACCAAATTTACATGGCATTTACTACACTAGTGAAATATTATCTTCCATTAAAAATTGAAGGTTAAAAACTCTTCGATACAACCAAATTTACTTTAAAAATTGAAGGTGAAAAGCTCTTCGATACAACCAAATTTACATGGCATTTACTACACTAGTGAAATATTATCTTCCATTACAAATTGAAGGTTAAAAGCTCTTCGATACAACCAAATTTACTTTAAAAATTGAACGAGCTTGAAAAGCTCTTGAAAAAGCTCCTCGATTTACTTACCAACCAAATTTACTTCATTAGATTAAAAATTGAGAGTTTATTACCGTCACAGGACATGGTTACCTTAGAGTAGTGTGGGCAAGGTATATGGTACCAATACCGTGGGGAGTATTTGAACTTTTGAACATTTCAGCTCAGAATATTCTTGTATACTATATATATATGTATACTTATTTTTATTATGAGAGTTTATTACCGGGACAGCGCGTACGCAGTCCCGACTACCAAAAATTACGCGCCCGAGTTATCCACATTAGGGACAATCGCAGGGGTCAGCCCAACCGAGGTGCAATGGAAGGGCCTCGCCCTGGGGGAACCGCCTTGATGATCACGGTAGCCCCCACGCCAGGTAAGTATGCTTCAGCGGAAAAAGCAGTTAGCTAAGCCTAGAACGTTCTATGTTTTGCGGTGTGTATGAGCAGAGCAATGCGCTGTAGCGTCATCTAGTGGCTTTCATTGAGCGCCGAAACGTCTCGATACATTTCATCATCTTCGCTATATGATGGCTATATGATATTTAATTTTAATTATATGTGTGATGTTGTAAAAATTGCCTTTTGCATATTGAATTTGAAAAATATATAATTTACACATAATATTAACACGTTAATCGCCACAATAATATCAGAAACTAGTGGAATATGGCATCGTGTCTTAAGGCAAATTGCTGGTTACTTCCCGTACCGTAACGAAATGTTCGAGAAATATTAAATGTTTTTAAATAGATTATTTTAAACACTCTAACTTTATTAATATTTATAAGAATTATATAATTTAAATTGCAAAGTTGAAATTATTTGCTTATATTAGAACAAAATTAAAATTAAAATCTGAATTATTTTTGATATACACACAATTTTTTTTCCCCAAAATTAATTATTTTGTTGAAACAAGAAGAAAGTACTTTCAATAATTCAAATCGGACGCTTAGTTCTCTCAAAAGAGCCATTTTTTGCACATTGGTAACTCTATTAGATAGTTTAGTTATACTTTTACCTTTTTCAAAGTAATAAACAAAATTTTTTTTTGCCATAATTTCTGAAGAAACACTATTTTTAACCCTACAGTAAAATTTTTCTCTGTAGGACTTATAAGTCAAGAAATTTTCAGGTTTTGTTTCCCTGGCTTTCGAAACATACTGAAAATGTATAGTTTGCCTTGGGCATCTGTGATTTACGTGTCCGACATATATTTAGAATTTTTAATAATCATACACAAATGACTGATATGGCATTTAAAGTGTTAAAAGGAATATTAACGAATCATTTCAATTAATATGCATTGTAGTTTTACTATGGTATATGATACAATAATATGTTTAGTAAACATGTGTAATAATACTTATATAGATAGTATTTTTTTTCAGTATCAGAAAAAAAAATACGTGGGCCATGGTAACTTTATTAGATAATTTAGTTAAAAATGTATCAAGAAAACTGTTAGGCAACTGAAAAATGTCAAAGTAATTAGCAAATATTTCTGGAGAAAAACTATTTTTTATTTAGCACCTGCATGACTTACATGGCCTTATACTAATAAACCTTTTTTTTCCAATACACGGCTTGTCGAGAGAAAAGTGTTTTATATATAAGCCAAGAAATTTTTAGGCTTTGAAAAAGTATTGCTTGCGTCAGACATTTGTGATTGACGTGTCCGACATATATGTAGAATTTCTGTACAAGTCATACACAAATGACTAATATGGCATTTAAAGTGTTAAAAGAAATATTATCGAATCATTTCAATTAATATGCTTTGCAGTTTTACTATAGTATAAGACACAATCATATGTTTAGTAATAATAATTACACTAGAACCTAGATTAACCAGACTAATTGTTTTCGATGGGCATTCGGATAATCAAAAATCCGGATAATCGAATGTATGAAGAATAATGTTGTGTATTTATTAAAAATAACAATTGCATACATAGATATCAACAAAAATCAATGTTTATTGAGAAATTAACACTTCCTTATGCATGTACATACATATTTTCTTCGATTACATTACATACATGTACTGAATTGCAGCAAAAATCCTGCAAAAATTTGAATTGTAGATATGTTCATACATATAAATTAGTCACGGATGATAGTCCGGATAATCGCATTTCCGTATAACCGAGGTCCGGATAATCAAGGTTCTACTGTATGTAGATAGTTTCAATTGTTAATGCAAAGTTTTATTTATAACTTAAACATTTGACCTTATGAAAATAAAATTAGAATCCGACTGATTTTTTTCCATTAATATACTTTATATATTTATTCCTTGACTTATCTAAAATAAATAATTGTCGTAGAAGTAGCAAATTATATCAGCTTTTATTTTTTTTTAAATGTCTTAAAGAAGTATATATATCTATTCTACCTGAACAACCCGCACGCTCAGTCCAGTTTCCTTTGCCAAAGCTTCTCTGACTTTTCTGCAGGGTTTAGGACTAAGTTCGAATGATGCTTTGAATTGTCTTCTTTGGGCTGATGTCAGTATCGTTCGAGGCCTTTTGGGGCCTCTTCTTCCATCTCTTGGTCTTGATGAATCATCTACAATCATATCATCATCCACCTAGAGAACAAACATAAGATATTAAAAAAAAAATTGAAGCAATCTTAAAAATAATATAATATGTTTAGAAAAACTTAATATGTGTTGAAATACACAATTACTGAAATATTTCTTAAACACAAAAATTGATTTATATTAAAAAGTCTCTAATAATAGACCAGAAAAAACAAGTACCTACGAGAAGATTAAAATGAAAGTGGCCGCAAGATTTAATAAATTAACAATCACTTTATTTATGTAAGGAAATTCTCTATTGGGGAAATTTCTAAAAGCCCTGTACCCGTCAGCAAATAACCTCATTGAACCCAAGGTTCAGATTGGTTATAAGAAATAAATAAAAAAAAAATTAAAAAGTAATTTTATGTTTTATAAGAACTGAAGTAAAAAGTTGTAATTGTCAATCAACTAAAAACACATTGAAGTTTCTATAAGCGGTATAATTCAATAAGCATTTATTTTAAGTATTTATTAAGTATTTATTATTATTACCCCTAGAAAAAACATCTCCTTTTCAAAGTCTCGCCTGCAGAACAGTCTTCCAGCTCTTATAACAAACTGTTCTCCTTTCTGCAGAGGTCTTTCACAAACGGCGCAAGAAAAACAAGCCACATGATAAACATGCTGTTGAGCTCTCATCACCAAATCCCTCGGGAGCAATCGTTCGCAGCAGCGGGAACATTTGGCTGCAAATGCTCGTTCGTAATCCGCCCTGCAGTAAAGGCGTAAATCGCGAGCGAAGCAGGACCTGGATAACGTGTCGCCGCAGGCACAACATCTTAAACAATGTTCGTGCCAGGATGCGTCTGCCACTCGGAGCAGGAATCGGTCCAGGATCAGACGACCGCAGCCTGTGCAGGATGAAGCGCCAGTGGCTTGGGGTTCGAGTTTTATGCTCGGTGCTATAGGTGGTGGAGGCTCACATTCTGAAAAATAGAAAAATAAAAATTTAGAAAAAGCAAACTCACTAATAATCTAAGAATTTTGATTAAGAACTCAATACAGAATGAATTTAATATTGAATGAAGTCGTATATTGAATCATTCCATATTTATATTCAGCAGATTCATTTTTTATCAAGTATAATAGAATAGTAATAATAGTTTATTTTAGTATAGCAATAACTATAATGTAGGTTTTTTCGATTTTCAGAGGGAATTTATAATTACTTTCCTGAACTCTGAAACATTATCTACATATATATAAAAATAAGTCGGGTTTTCCTTCCTGACGATATAACTCCAGAACGCACAAACCAATTTTGACAATTTTGCATTCGTTGGAAAGGTCTCGGGCTCCGCAAGGTTTATAGCTAAGAAAATTAGTAAAATGTAGTTTACCAAAGAGCACTTCAATGAAACGGATAATTTGCGGATTCACTTTTATTTACTTAGAGAAGTTCAACTAAAAATCAATACATTTTTGTAATCAAAATACAAAAAAATTCTTCATCTTTCTCACGAAACCATCTGGTGGCGAAACGGAGTTCGTCGGGTTTGCTAGTTATTAATATAACTCTGAATAATTATTATTACAATCAATATTTTAAATTTATACATTTTTCTTTAATTTTCACTGATTTATTGCTTATTGATAATAATTAAATCTCTAAGTATCGAACACATTAATTTAATACAAATTAATCATTATTAAATATTTTATAAAAAAATTTATATTAGTATTTAAAAACAAATGCATTGCATTTCACACCTTACCTACTGTCAAACTTCAATTATTTAGCTTTGATTAACTTTATTTCTTGTTAATACCTGTAAATTAATATTTGATTGAATTGAAGAATTATTTTCTAATAACTGATTGAGATTGAAAGCCTTTTCATTCGTAAAACCAAATCTAAAGATGAAAAAATGATGACTGTAAAATAGTGAAAACACTGCACGTCTACATGTGTAGTCTTTTGTTTTTTTTTCTCTGAAAATACCAAATTAAATCGATAATTGCAATTATCGATTGCAATGATCTTTTATATATTTTATATTCTATTTCATATTTACAAATAAAAATTAATATTTAATTTTAGAAATTAAAATTTATTTATTGTATATTGTATCCTGTACATTAATTATTCATTTTAGTTTTAATAATATCGATTATGGATATATGTGCAAAAACTTTATTTTATTGTTTTAATTGTAATTATAATTGTTGGAACTTTTTTTGATGTTTTTATTTTGCGATCTGCTCATACAAAACAATGAACAGATTTTATAGAATAGATATGAAAATAAAAAAATTATGGTTACATATTAGCAGGTACGATAGCATATTAGATATTAAAATTACAAAAATCTCAGTCAAAATTTTTTATAAAAGTTTATGTTATAGAATTTTAAGTTTCTATTTTGAATATTTCTGGTTTAAATATATATGTTAAAGTATTGATTATGGATTATAAATTCACAGTATACAGAAAAAGTTGATATAATATGCCACTTTACTTGCAGCATTAATTATTTGAAAATAATGAACTTTATATTTATAAAAACTGTTTTTGGGAAAGTTATGAAATAAAGGATTATATATACATATATACAATAACAAATATACAAATACAAGATGTACTATGCAGGTGAGCACTTCAGGAAATGTCGATAAAAACATTGACAATAAGGGAAGAACAACTTTTTCAAAAGCTTTTTGAGAAGTTCCTTCCGGTCTCTTCGAAAAGAACTTTTTTTATACGGCATTATAAAGAGTTGTATAACACGATTTTGACTTAAATTATATAATTTAGATTATATTGATTTTTAAGAATTTATGAAAGTATTACAAATGATAATTTAATTTGGATTTATTCATTTAATTATTTTAACAACAATATTGATTGCATTAAATTGCACCTGAGATATAATGTATATAAAATATTTTGTAAGCTTTTGGGATGAAAAATTCTTATTGTCGTATATAATTTCAAAAATAAATTTTTAAATATGTGATAAATATAAATAAAAAATAATTCTCGATGATTTTTGCACACAAATCCATTCTAGAATATTTAATAAATTAGACGTGAAAGTCATATAGGACTATTTTTATTATTTTTAGATTATGAGTTCAATTACAATTTTGTGTCTAACCTGGTCTATCAGCACAAGGTAAATTGCCCCTAAGAGCTTCGTCTTCTGGGCCTCTCATGGGTCCCATGGCGCCACCTAATGCAGTCAAATTAGAATAAAATTCTAACATATTCCAAGTCCACCCCTGATCGCACCCCTGCGAACCAAATACGCCCCGCATGCGCGGTTGGCAATCACTTTACAAAATTAATATATTTTCACCAAATTATTTTGAACTCATGTCACTTTGGAAATTTTAATAACACTTGTGTATTAAATATGCACTTTATTGCACAGTTCACGAATAAATTTATAGAAATAATTTTTAAATTGTGAGGGTGAATTGTAGGGTTAATAGATTTTTGGAAGTACTATGTTTATACCAATTTTAAGAAAAAAATGTTGGTGGAAATGATTAAAAATCATAGAAGAGAAGAAACACAACTGGCCTGTCAGGCTTTTGAGATCGTACTGTCAGGCTTTGATATCAACCTCAGTGCGCATGCATCCCTTCGGTATTACGTTGAATAAGGGCGGGTTCCCTGCAAACTCCACCTTTTATTCATAATTTATCCGAAACACCGCCTGTCCTCCACCGCGATCGAAGCACGCCTTCGAATTGATACCATGAGGGGAATCATGATCGCGTCGTATGCGGACTTTCCGTCGGAGCTTCGAGCTTTGCAATAAGCTCGCTGTGTGCTTTTCTATACACTAGCTGTGTGAGATTTACAAGGCTCCTTATGAGTTCCTTAGCGATTATAAGATGAGCTTTTTTATTTGTGCTGCTGCGAAGAGTAGGTAATATTACCGTATATTTTAATTTAGCATCTTCAGCATCCTCACTAATGCGAGACTTTTTATGTCAAAGTTAGTGCAGCATGAAGAGTTATTAGATCCTAGATCCTAGTATAATGTAGATTCAATATTGTAATCGAAAATTTTTGAGGAAAATGACGATGGTTAATTCAAATATTATTTAGTAGTTACCATCACAACAAAATATAGGTTATATGTATTTTTATTGCAAAAAGCAACTCATAATCATCTTTTATCATTATTCATACACATTTGCCAGGTAGGTGATCTGCAGTACAAAAAGTAGATAAAACTAACAAATTTTGTGTCTTACGACAGCATCTTATAGAATTTCAGTATCTATTTTATTACAAATTTGTAATATCAAAGAACTATATCAAAATTTCAAACTCTTATAGGATTTGGTTGACTATTTGATCAGAATTTAGCGATATCACAAAACAATACCAAAAGTAAAAGATCTTTTAGGGTTTGGATGACTATTTGATCAGAATTTTGTAATATCAAAAAACTACATCAAAAGTATAAATGATATTTTAGGATTTGAATGACTACTTGATCTGAATTTTGTATTATCATTGGGGATTTAAATGACTAATCAATTAGAATTTTGTAATATTGAATAATATATAATGATATATATATATATATATATATATATATATATATTATTGCAAAGAGCAACTGCTGATCATCTTCTATTATTATTTCTTGACATTTGTGAAGTAAATGATACAAAAAGTAGATAAAACTAATAAACTTTGTGTATCATAACAGCATATTAAAAAATTTGTATTCGCACACATACACACACATCCATTTTTCTAAAGTATGCCAAAATGTTCAGGTGGTTTTGAAACGTAAAGATATATAAACAATTTTATTTTCAATTTTTCTGCGATTACTATAACTTGCCCTACGGGAAGTTATTTACTCATTTGATATCAAATACAAATCATTTGATATAAACACAAATATCATAAATACTACATGAATTACTTGAAACAAATGAAATTAGCATTGTTTTTTTAATTTTATTATTGGCATTTGGTCACTCAAATTATTTTTTAATTTTAAATTTTCTTATTCTACGATTATAAGTCTCCACAATTTATTCGAGCCTATATAAATTTTATATTATATGTTTTTTATTCACACTACTCAAACTGAAATCGATCTGATTGTGAGTTTAACTAGCACAGTTTTATTACACAATTTTAATATCATTTTTAATGCAAATATTATATCATTGTGTTATATTATATTACCAGATATATAACATTAATTTTTCATATTTAGCTTTTGCTTTAGATGATTTTTTTCATATGAGGGTGAATAAACAAATAAACTTTTATTATTTATTCAAAAACATACAGAAATACAAAAATAACAAAAAGTAACGGAAATGCATTCTAATATATAATATTAATATTTTCTGTAATATAAACGTATTCATACCATGAATAAATTTCAGTAATATCTGATTTCAAATGCAATATGAATCATCATCTGCAAAACGATGTATGAATAAAGCCGTTCCCTCTTGTTTATTGTTTTGCATATAATAGTTACTACATCCCTATGTATAAACTTTAGCGTGATCTTCACGGGTAAACATCAAACAGAGTATTCTTGGCAAACATCCCCCGTGAGGCTTTTGGACCCCCAACAAAGCCAACAAGACATTAGCATATTCGGTACTGGAACTAACAAACGATGATGAAAAGCAGACATTGTAATGTGAATTTAATTCTCGTATTATTTTTTTTTAAATATAAAAATAAGTAAATCAATCAAGAGATTATAACATTTTTGTTACATTGTTTCAGACAAGGAATGATTTCGGTAGTAATAAATATCTATCACGTAATGTAACAAATGCGTGCAATAAATCGAAAATAATAATTAGGTTTCGGTAGTAGTAGTAAATAGTTCTATGATGGATTGCTTTACAGGTCAAACCCATTATTCATAATTTATTATAGAAAATTATAAAATAAATTTTATGTTTTTCTAACTATTCTCTCTATTTTATTGCAAAGGTATATTTATTTTTATATTTACATTTTGGATGCAGGATAAAATTTAGTAATTACAGAAAATAAATTATTTTAATTGAATTAAATTAGTAGAATACAACACTAAAACAATATTAAGCCTAACATTACTATTATGTAATGCAACAAGTTGAAGAAAAAAATGTTACGATATTAAAATACATAGTTTATTTAAGGCATGTAGTTCTTGAGATTCTTCTAATTGTGAAAAAAACCTTTAAATATTCGTTTCGAAATTTTCATTTAAGTCTCAAATCTGGAAAATAATAATTAAGGGCAGTATCAAAAAAATAGTATGAAAATAATAATAATGATTAGAGTAGAAAAATATTAAAATAATTTGAAATAAAAATTTGAAAAAATATGGAAAAAATATATCCAAAAAAAGAATCTCCGTTCTGGATACTTTAGAAATTTCAGTAATATTTACCCCAGCCACATGTAAGTTTCTAGAGGTATCATATGAAAAACTGTAGAAGCTGAATCAAAATTAACAATTCACTTAAAACATGATATTAAGGTCTCGTAAACTAAACAACAGTGCTCACAGCTAAAAAAAACTAATAACGAAAAAAATACTTTTGTTGTGGATTTTCAAACATTAGACTTATTTGGTCGTAAGAATCAAGACTATAGATGGATGGTTATACATCTTTTTCCCTCTACTTTCAAATATTGTTGTTGAAAAATTCACTTGTTTTTGAGATATCCTACCCTATATATAAAATATATAAATATATATATATATATACATATACATATATATATATATATATATATATATATATATATTTCAAAGTAACTAGCAGCCCATTCGTCGAAATAAAAAGGTATAAAGTGTAATACTTTTATTTATACGTTTCGACACAAGATGCGTGTCATCATTCAGCAACACAGGACAAAAACACTCAACAAAAATTTACAAACAAAACAGTTTTTTTACAACAAAATTTACAACAAAAAAGTTTTTGTCCTGTGTTGCTGAATGATGACACGCATCTTGTGTCGAAACGTATAAATAAAAGTATTACACTTTATACCTTTTTTATTTCGACGAATGGGCTGCTAGTTACTTTGAAATATGTTTCAACGTCGAAAAAACTATCAAGATATATATATATATATATATATATATATATATATATTAGGGTGGTCGTTAACAAAGACATTTTCGAATTTCTTTGCTCCCAAGGGCACCAATGCTTCCAAATGAATAAAAAATGAATCTTTAATAGTATTAGCTCTTAATATAAACATTTAGATAGAGCGCACACCAATTGAAAGTTTCTTATATTTGTTATTAACATACGCCATTAAGTAAATTCTTGCGCCATCTGTATAGTATTCGTGACCTCATATGTTATGACACATAAGAATATTTCTGAACCACTTAACCTCTAATTAAATCCATGTGGACTGTTCTATAACATTTATTCATCATGGTATTAAATAAATATTTTTCTGAAAGAAAAAAATAGTTAGGAAAAAATAATTTTCTCTATTTCTATACGTTTTGATACCTGATGTGTATCACCATTCAATAACCAAATGTATGATGTTCAATTTCCTTGCTCCCAAGGGTTCAAATGGTTTCAAATTGATAAAAAACAATTTTCTGAAAGTTCTAGCTCTTAATATTGTATTTTAGATAGAGCGCAATTCAATAAAAAAATTTGTATGTATATTTTTGTATGTATATATTTGTATGTATATATATATATATTTGAATTCTAATACTTTTTGCTAAGTTTGTGATATCTAGGTAGACATTTGCTATTCCCTTACAATCGCGGTTCAAAGGTACATCGGGCGAAACGGGATGTACCTTTCCCCTCCACAAGACATGCGCAGACCGCGGCCAAACATTGATGACTCCCAACGGAATCGATCTGGTGCAAGAATTCGGTGTATTTTTGGGAATATATTGTTAAGCCGACATTGATAAATCAACAGAAAAGGAGAAATATTCGAAAACTGTCTACAAGTATGCATTCAGAACGAAGCGAACGTTATTTGATAAACTTTACACAATCGGCAATTCTTAGAGACTGAGTTATTAGTGTATTTATTAGATATTAAGAAGGTATTATGTTTATTGGAATACTTCTAAAACTTTTGAAACAAAAATTTATAGATTAAATTGATTAAATATTATATATTGAAATTTTATATTTATTAATATAAACAAAAGTTTGCTAACATAGTGTTTCAAGAACATCTTTAGGATAATAGAATAATAATAATAAGTTTTGGATGACTATTTGATCAGAATCTTGTAGGATTTTGATAGCTGTGAGATCAGAATTTAGAAAGATCAAAAGCTATATTCGAAGTTTAAACGATTTTTCTGGATTTAGATGACTATTTGATCAGAATTTTGCAGGATTTTGATAGCTATGAGCTCAAAATTGTGTAATATCACAAAACTATATCAGAAGGTCAAACAATCTTTTTGGATCTAGATGACTATTTGATCAGAATATTATATGATTTGGATGGCTATAAGATCAGAATTTTGTAATATCACAAAACTGTATCACCAGTTTAAAAACGATGTTTTTGTATTTGGATGACTATTCGATCAGAATTTTGTAAAATTCTAATGGCTATGAGATCAGAATGTTGTCACAAAATTATATCAGAAGTTCAAACAATCTTTTTGGATCTGGATGACTATTTGATCAGAATTGTGTACGATTTTGATGGCTATGAGATCAGACTTTTGTAATATCACAAAGCTATATCCAAAATTTAAACTATCTTTCTGGATTTAGATGACAATTAGATCAGTATTTTCTAGGATTTTGATAGCTATGAGATCAGAATTCTATAATATCACAAAACTAAATCAAAAGTTTAAACAAACTTTTTGGATTTAGATGATTTGATCAGAATTTTGTAGGATTTTGATGGCTATGAGATCAGACTTTTGTAATATCACAAAGCTATATCAGGCGTTTGAAACTCTTTAGATTTGAATGACTATTTAATCAGAATTTTGTAGCATTTTGATGACTATGAGGTCAGAATTCTGTAATATCACAAATCTAAATCAAAAGTTTGAACAAACTTCTTGACTTTAGGTGATTTGATCAGAATTTTGTAGAATTTTAATAGCAATCAGATCAGAATCTGATTGCTATTAATATATCAGAAATCAGAAGTATAATCGATCTTCAAGGATTCTGATTACTCTCAGATCAGAAAATTATATCAAACGCTTAAAGATTCTTTAGGATTTGAATGACTTTTCCATAAAAAATTGTAATGTAAAAAAATTATAAAAATAATAAGAAATATTATATTCAATTAAAAATTTTTACTTTCAGATTTTTTATCAAAACGATGCTGCAACTAGAATAAATATTATTATAAATTTTTTTTTACAGATACTTATCTGTATATAATCTACTACTCCAATCTAATACTATATAATCAATATTCATTATATATATATATATATATATATATATATATATATAAAATCATATATGTTATATAAAGTACCCACGGGTAGACAAATATGTACAAAAAGCTACAATGTAAAATGTATTCTAAATTAATGCAATAAATACTTTTGTCTAACTGTCTGTTCTGGAAAATATCATTTGTTTGGTTTATCCTTCTCAAAATCAACTCCTCCCTCCGGTGGAAATTTCACACTAATGCGATATTTGTTCCTGGTTGTGTTTTTCTGAAAATTGATATTTTATTGCGCGGAAATGACGGTCGCCTTGAAAAGAAAGGAAGAACAAATACGAAAAAATAGCAGAGCGATTAGGATCACGATGTGGTAACATCGAGAGATCGTTTTGCGGAGATGATCAGTTTATAATGATACACCTAGGGGCGCTCGGTCGTTAGTGCCAGCGCTAACGGGCCCAGAAAAGCGCTATTGATGTCTTTATCGATGAAGACGGAGGAATAACCAGAATTTAATATGAATTTTGAGCTGCTTTGGTAAATGACATTAAATTAAATTTAAAATAATAATAAATAAATAAAACTTGTACATATGCACAAGGGCTATATTAAACTGCTGCAAAAATTAATTTATTAATGGGCATTAAAAGTAAATTTATTATCAAATTTGAATCATTTATTTAATCGAGCAATAAATGCTAATTATTGTATCTGTGATTTTTTAAATCACAATTAATAATTTTAATTGAAAATAATTTATTAACTTCTTGAAGGAGAAGTTTATGTTTTCATCAAAATTCCGAATCGCTAATTTTATGTTTTCTCGACGTTTCAAGCCATTCTGAGTCGAATGAGACGAAATTTAGAAAAAGTATGTGTGTGTATGTGTATGTGAACAGATTTTTTGCCGTAAATCGACGTTTTCTCAGAAACGCTGGACCGATTTCAAAAATTTAAAAGCCATTCGATGTATCTCGATGAGGAATACGATTGGCCGAGCCGTTTCTTTGTAAATCGCAGAAAAGTGAAAAATTTTCGTCCACGTTTTAGCCCGCAATTCTGAATCGATTATGAAAATTAAAAACCGTTCGAATATATTGGTTGGGAATCGTGGAGATTTTGGTGGAGATCGGCCGGGCCGTTTACTTGCAATAAAGTGTTAAAAAATTTTTTTCAACAATTATTATTATTATTTTTTTGACGGTAGATACCATAGTCTTGTAGATCATACTAAAATGACGGCCCTACGACAACTCGTTAACTCTAAAAATTCGTCAAAGTTTGCAAAATTTGGTTTCGTTTTTTTGCAATTTGTCAAAATTAGACCTTTGATCGACGTTTTCGCAAAACGCCTGAACCGATTTCAGAAATTTAAAATCCATTTGATGTATGTCGATGAGGATTATTGTTTTGTCAGTTTTGTGCGACGATCTGCCAAGCCGTTTCTTTGTCAACGTTTCCTCCAAATTTAAATCATACCAGCTAATCGATTTTGAAAATCAAAAACTGTTCGAAGATATTAGTTGAGAATGATACTGATTAGTTTTAGGAGAAAATCTGCCGAGCCGTTTTCTTGTAATTAACTGTTGAAAAAAAAAATTGAGCTGATTTTTATGGAACTTATTTTGGCGACAAATCTTATAGAACTTACTAAAATATGACAGCCTTACGACAAGTAGTTTAATTTAAAACAAATCATCAAAGTTTGAGAAATGAGTAGTTATTTTGAAGTTTGTTAAAATCAAAATTAGACGATTTACTTGGTATAACGATAGAATACTTGGTCTTAAAGAACATACTAAACCATTGAAGTCCTACGGAAACTGGTTCAATTATAGAAATTATTGATTTTTTGAAAATTTGTTTTTAGAAAATACTCAGAGTTAACGTGATCGTTCGTGTTCAATGATGTGTGATAAATCCACTCGGAATACTTTAATCACTCATAAATTAATTTATTTTTTATTGATTAAGTCGATTATTTACACATATCGGGAAGTTTATGTAACCGCCTCAAGGCAAAATACCAATACAAACTAGTTTATTTATTTATTTATAAGAAGCTCATTAAGTGATCAATGATATCAAGGGTAAAAATCCTATGAATATAAAGTTCTGCAAACATTAATATCTCTTCAATTACTTCTGAAATATAATACCGTCACTA